TCCCCGGGATGACCCCAGCTCCTGCTGGAAGCCTGCCTGAGAAAGCTCAAGTTGTTGTGATTTAATGTTTATTGGTTCATCTCCTCGCCACCCCCTGACCTTAACCTGGGAGCAGTCACTCAAATTTGCCACTGTGAAACCCTCCCCTCCGCCTGGGAGCAGCCTTCTCAAGGATCTGAGAGCCATTCTTGGCCACGCAATCTTCAGGGAGGACCTGCCTCTGTCGCCCCTTCTCTGTGGGAGAACAGAACCCCAGCTTCCCTACTGCCGCCCACAGACCAGCTCTTGGGTCGCGCACACACTGCCCAGTCCTCGCTTATCTCCCCCTGAGCCTCCTTCTCGCCTTCCCTGCTCCCTGGAGCTCCCTTTAAAACCCAGCCGCGTCTGCCCACATCTCAGTACACTCAATCAGAAGTTACTGAGCAGCATCTGTTCTTGGGGCTTTACCTGGCTTTGTTTGCCTTGATGCCACAGTCCTGCCACCTTTACCGGTCTGGGCACTTCCCTCCACCTGGCCTCGGCTGCCAGTGCCAGCAGGGCCTTCCAAAAGCAGAGCTTGCCAGAGGCTGCCAGTGCCAGAGAGCTGGCGCCCCAGGAGCAGCCTGCGGCCGGGTTCCACACTGCTCCCCACAGCGCCTGGAGGGAATTAAGCTCCTTCCAGCTGTCTGGAATTACTTCATGCACATATCGGCTTTCTCCCTCACCTCCTCACTCCCAGCCAGGATCTCCTGGTAATGGCGCCCAAGTAAACCCTTGCTGGAACCCTCGGAAATCCTTGTCCGGCATCTGCTGTAGGGACCCCGCATTCTGAGACTGCCCTACCAAGCCCTTGGGGCTGTTTTCAGGGACTGTTCTTGAAGGTGTTTGAAGGGGTGTGTGTGTGTGTGTGTGTGTGTGTGTGTGTGTGATTGATTGATTTTGCTCTGCTCAGCCAGGGCAGGTGGTAACAAAGGGGTGATGTGTTTGTCTGCTGCCAAGCCTTGCTCAGAACCAAGGAAGGGGGCACCCCGGGTCTGACTTCTGACCAGTGGAAAGCTTTCATGTCCTCTCTCAGCTTCCCTACTTCCCAAATGAAAGGGTTTCTTCCTTTTTACTTTCCTTTGCTTCCTTCTTTTTAAATGATTTCGGAGGAGCAAGAGAAGGTAGAAAATGTCTGAATAGCCTTTATCAGGCACCTGCTCTGTACTGGGCGGGATGTCAGTCTCTCCTTTTAGGGGCCCTTTCACCCCGCCACTGCCTACCAGGTCAGTTCTCCCACAACCCCCATGCAGATGAGGGATGGAGACTCCAAACAGACTCACATCTGCTTGGCCACTGAGCCAGCAGGATCTGGAAGGAGAATCCCAAGACCTGACCTAGCCAGGGAAACGAGGTCACCACCCAGGGCCCCTGTGTACTTCACTCGCCATTGTGTGCCTCAGTTTCCTCCTTTGTTAAATAAGGGGGCAGAGTTGAGAGTCCCTCAATGCCTTCCAGTCTTCGTCCTGGAGCTCCTCTTTGGGGAGGGAGCACAATGTCTGGGACCACACCCTGGAAGCGCCGCAGGCTTAGCTGCTGGAGACAAGACTTGGGTTCCTTCTCCTTGACCAGGTTGTTGGGTTCCTACTCAGATCAGATTCTCTGCATTTTTCCTGCTCCTTCACCCAGCTTTAAAAGACCTTTGGTATTCCATTATCAGAAGAATTTAAGGACCAGCAGCAAATATGAAGGTCTTTGTGTCAACTTCCTCCTTTGAGCTCTTTACACAAACATTCTAGAAGCGTCACCCAGCCCATACTAATTCCCAAGGAACCACTGTTTACGTTTCTTCTCAGCAACATGACCTGATTAGGTGCATGGGCTTCAGAGTCACACCCTTGGATTCCAACCCAGTCTGTAGCACTCACTTGCTCTGTGACCTTGGGCAAGTTACTGTTTCATTCTGTGCCTCTGTTTACAAGTTCATAAAATAGAGCCGATAAAGATGCTTACCCTGTTGTGACTAACTCATTGCACGGAAAGCTCCGTCTCTAGGTTGTTTTTCTTAGTGGGCTTGCCCTGGCTTTGAGTCTTGAGGGCTTGGAGAGCACCAGGAGTCCATGGGGACCAGCTAGGGAGCAAGCAAACAGCTGTGGATGCTTCACTTACAACCTCCAAAGAGGCCAGTAGTCATAAATTTCCTTCCCCCACATCTGGAACATTGTATTGCCACTGAGTCTACACCAGGACCCTGCCCTGCTCCAGGGTTTCAGCAACACTCCCCTTAATTGCCTGAGGCATGGGCTACTGTTCTGCAGCTCCTGAATTCCCACCCTGGGAGTCCCCATCCCTACACTGCATGCTCTCTTCCCGTCACCTCCCTTCATTGGCTCATCTGAGTCCCCATTTATCACCCCTAGCCTGGGAGCACACTGAGCACTAGGTCTCCTTGTCTTTGTCTCCCTCAGGGTGCCCAACAGCCAGCGCATAGTAGGTGCTCAGTAAATGCAGGCCCATCCAAGAAAGACTGGAAATAGGAGAATGCCAGGCCTGCCTCCTGGCCATTGCAGGGCAGGTCAACCCCTGGCTGGAAGCCAGCAGCACAGGGCAGTGAGCAGGAGGCCAGGCTGGACCTCACGCAGCCTGGTTCCAACAGCACCTCCATGAAACCCACCCCTTCTGCTCCTGCCCAGTCCTGAGGATAGACTCCCACCTTCTGATCACATGTCTGCAGAGTTGGCCACAGGGAGAGGGCAGCCAGGCTCTCGGGTCACAGCATTCTCTGTGAGCCTCCACAATCAGCATCCTAATTCACACATCAGCCCACCAGCCAGCCCCCGACCTCCCAGGCTTCTGAACCTGCCATTTTATTAAAATCATTGTTCTCCACACCCTTGTTGGTGGTTTGCTGCCTGGACCAGGCATGGAAGAGAACATTGGGCACCAGACAATCATCTGGAGTGATACAATGAATGTCAGCTTAGTCCAGGGTCTACAAAGTCTCGCACCAAATAAACCTGTTGAGTGTTATTGAAACCAAGGGAAACCTAATTCATTTGGCATCAGGACAATTTTTCACTTGATACCTATTAATGTGTTGCCATGTCCATTGAAACAAAGCTGGGAATTTGAACCTGAAGGAAGGAAAGAATGAGCATTTATTACAGAGCTATAAGAAGGGGATGTGCTATGCCAGATCCTGGATGTCTAAGGGCTATTAAACAGTCTGACTGAGGTGTTATTACCCAGGTGGTAAATGAGAGCCAGCCTCTCATGAGCAAGATGGTCTTCCCAAGACTTGAGCCCAGATGTTTGTCACCCGGGGCTGCCTCTTGGCTGTACACCTGCCCTCGAATTTCCTTGCATTTGCTGCCACTCCTGCTTAACCTTAACCCTCTTTGCCACAGAGACCATGATTCTAGGAGGGGGCACAGAAAAAGGCTTTGGACCTGACACCCCTGCACTGTCATTGATGGTTTGGATTTGCAAAGCTGACCCTGTAAACTGTTCACTTCCAGATGAAACGTTCATTCAGCTGGGTCTCAGTCACTGCATCTATAAAATGGGCCTATGGGTGCAGAGGGCAGGAAAGTCATGGTCTTTAGAAAGGTGTAACTGAATGTTCTCTGGTTCCCATCCTTTGTAAACCATGGTCTGACCCCTCAGTACTCAGCCTGCAATTTGGAGACATCACCACCAGGGGGTGATCTGGACTAAGAGAGTGAGGTGGGACTGGTCAACTGGGTTAGTGCAACCAAAGTAGCTTCTGTAGGTCCTTCTCAGATAGTACTTGGATATGACAGAAATTATAACTGTAGATCAGAATCACCGTGAGCACATGAAGACCTGCATGAATCAAAGGGTCAGTAACTCAGACCGTAGCTCACTTTCCCCGCACTTGTGGTGGGCAGATGAGCACGACTCAATTAAGCCTGGATTCCCCAGTACAAGATCAGATCCTTCCATAAATTAGATACTCAACAAAGAGGTGGAGCTGAATCCAGCACTTGCACATAGTTAGGTACTCAATAAATGTTAAATCAAGCCTCAGGTCACAGGGTGTCTGACGAAGGAGGGCAGAGAAAAGAATTTCCCAGAAGCCTCCACACACCCACATCTTCTCTTGCATTGGCTCGAGTTGAGTCATGTGACCATTTCCAAACCAATCACTTTGTGTTGGGGGGCATGTTTAGACCAACCACGAGACCAAGCAAACCCATCCTGGATAGGGCAGTGGAAATGGCCAATTTCCCTGATGTCCGTGGGCTCGAGGGGAAGGAGTGGGTGCCGGGAAATAACTGAAGCTGTGCGAGGGAGGCATGCAGGTAAGTCCAGCTGGGTCCCGCCAGGACCCCTCTGCACCTGGCATGGGGAGAAGCCAGCCTAAGTGCTTGGCGATGAGCAATTTTGATTGCCAAGCATCTCAGCAGCATCCATCTTGAAGAGCCCCTTTGAGAAAGTCCTGTGTGATCCGAGAGCTGGCCAGGTCGGTGACCCTGCTTTTGTCTTCCCACACTTTAATTCCTGCTCTTGTGTTTTAAGTTCACTAATAAAGAGTGGGCCCTAGAAATCCTGCACACCCACCCTTGACCCCTATGGAAGGAAGAGTTCCAAGTCCCCGCAACCTCACTGAGCTGTCTTGGGTGCCTGCACCCTCCAGGGTAGGTGAATAATCAGCCTTTCCCGTGGGTGTCCCCGAGGTGTGTCCTGGTAAAACCACAAAGGTTGGTGCTGTCATAGCATTGGTGTTGGCCACGGAAATGTCTGTGGGGACTCAGCACAGGGAACATGAGCCTCGCGTGTGCCCTCCCTTGCATTCTAGCCCGTGGCATCACTGCCAACAGGCTGTGGGCACACTGGGCTCGGGGCACACTGAGCTCTGCTCAGCTCTCACGTCCTGTACGTGTGTGCCTGCATGTGGTGGGGGGGCGGCAGGAAAGGTGGGGAAGGGCTGAAAAAGAGTTTGGGTCCTCAGGCTCCCTCTCTTCCCTCACATGGTCTCAGCACCCCATGAAGAGAAGCACCAAGCAGAGGAGGTTTTCAGATTTGTGACTTTCTTTATTGAAGCAATTTCTCTGAGCAGAGGACACCTTTTCTGAGTTGTAGCTAGTGCTTGGAGGGCCTGGGTTTGCTCTTCTCTCCATGTTTTTCATCCAGTGCTTTCTGCAAGTTCATGTTCATAGCATTTTTCTGGTGCCACCGTCCTGCAGAGAGTACGGAAAGCGCCAGCCCAGATCACCCGGAGGACTAGTAGCCCCAGTGGTGATCCATCCTGCTTCCCGGCTCTCCCGGGGCTCCCTTCTGTTGCCCTGATCTCCTCCCCGCGGAGGGGGTGCCCAGCATACACGCCCCAGCTCCCCACCTACCCAGGTCATCCGTCTTCCTGCCGTGCCAGTGCTCAGTGTCCCGCACGGATCTCTCAATTACCTCTGGGGTGTACGAGGCCTTCATCAGGCTCTTCGTCTCTTCAGTAGCCCCTGTGGAAGCCCATCAAGAAACCCCCCGATGCAGAGGTTGGGGACTCTAGAGTCCATAGTGGGCGTTAGTTTCCCCTGTGAAGGGGGGGGCTGTGGAAGGGCAGGGGAGTAGGACAGCAAGACAGAGGAAGGCCTCCCTGCATGCAGACCCCAGCCCCACCCAGGAAAGTGTGGCCAAGTTCTCCACCCCTCAGAGGCCATGAATCCAATAAAATAAGGCCATAGGGATAAATCCAAATAGAGCAGGAATTTCAATAGCTGTAAACAGACTAAGCCCATTGGTTAAAAAAGGTGATCAAACTACACAAAATTGTTTCCAGATATATTAATATTTTTCAAAGATTTATTTTTATTTACTTATGCATGCAAGAACTGGGGTGTAGGCCAGAGGCGCGGGGGGAGAGAGGAGTCACCAGAGACAGAGTGGGGAGCAGAATAGGCAAATCTACTGAAAGACACTGCTGAGGGGAGCACTGAGCAAGACAGGAGAGGTCTGCTGCACCATGTGGGTCACTTCTCTGGCCGGGGATCGAGCTCAGGCTTCAGTGGTGACAGCGCTGAGACTTAACCCCTACACTATCAGATGTATTATTCTCTAATGCATACTTAAAAGGACTGGGAGAATCAACCCAGAAATGTAGAAAAAGCATCCTATACAAACACTAATCAAAAGCCAGCTGTACTCAATATATTTACTCAGGCAAAACAGCCAGGCAAAGGCACTGTAAGAATGAAAACATCTATAATGGACTCAGGTGAGGTCATAGTCCTAAGCGTACTGCATTGGAATCCTTGTGAAATAGGTGAAACAAGATGACAGAGCTGCCAGGAGAAATGATCCAATCTGCTGCCCTAGGATACTTGAACAAAGACTAAAGATATATCTTTTAGAAAGCAATAAATCAAGCAAAGACTATTAACATAGGATTAGAAAGATGTATAGAAATAATTAACAAGCCTGCTCTATTAGACAAATGCAGAAACCTGCACCCAAAACATTATTTTCAAGCACATGTTGATCATCTACAAAAATTGACTGTCCACTGGGAGGAAAACAAGTCTCACCAATTTCCAAAGACTGGAGAGACCGTCTCAAAGAAACAGGTCTTGCAGTTAATGCCTTTGGAGGAAAAAGAGGGTTGTGGCCTAGGAACAATAATAGGATACTAAAAGAAAGGTCCAGTCAGAAAACAAGCTGCTTATCTTGTGCATTAGCCTCTCATCTTGGAATCCTGCCCCCAAGGCTGCCAGAGTTTCTATTCCAGCTCTGACCATTCCTAACTGCGTTTCCTTAAGCAAGTTATTTAATCTCTGTTTACCTCCATGATTTTCTATTTTAAAAAAGTGAGAATCATAGTACTTACTGCAAAGATGCTCTACATAAATGTAGCCACTACTATTATGAAAAAGATAAAAAAAAACTACAAATTATTGGAATTAATAGGTGAGCTAAGCATGACTTCTAGATATAAGATTAAGATACAAAAAAAATTTCATTTGGGTATGCAAAAGCAACAAAGCTAGAAAATTATGATTTCTAAAAAGATACTGTTTGTAATAGGCAGCAAAGTTCTAAATAATCAAACAAAATCATGCAAAATATAAAAAAAATTACAAATCATTGCTGGCAGATGCGGATTTAAATTAATGGAGCTGCATATCATATTCATGGATTAGAAAAATCCATGATCATAAAGCTAACAATTGTCCCTAATTGAGCTTTAAATTCAATGTACTTCCAGTCAGAATCCCAACTGGGTAATTTTTGGAAATTAACAAGCTGATTCTAAACTTAGATAGCAGAATAAAGGAACTGAAATAGCTGAAACATTAGCAATGGAAATAGGGGATGAGGAGTTACCCAACCAGATACCAGACTACATTTAATACCTTGGTAATTAAGTGTAATATTAAACCAATGGGCAAAATAGAAAGTCAGAATCTGACCCCACGCACATATGGAAAACTGATGGATACCAGTGGCACCCATAGGTCGGGGTGGCGGGGCGGGGAGGCAGGGACAGAGTGGGGGAAGGGAGATGGGTCTGTTTACCAAAAGGTAATCAAGCGTAAAGGAGGAGCTAAATGTGAATCCCTGCTTCACACAGTTAAAACAAATGAACCCCAAGTAGATTAGAGATTTAAATGTGGGAAACAAGCTAAATATTTCGGAAGACAATATAAAAGATTAACCTCATGACGAAGCATGACATGGGATCGCTTCTCTGTCTCAATCACTGGCAATGCCATCCTTCTTGTTGCTCAGGTCAAATGGAGCAACATCAGTCCTAAACCCTCTCTGACCCACCCCACATCTCTGCTTTAGCATATTCTGTGGGCTCTACCTACACAGAGTGGGCATCAGAGTCCCACTGCATCTTGGCACCATACTGTGCACTGTGCCCTCCGGGGATGCAGGGGCACCAGCCCTGCCGTGACACTAGGTCCCACCTGGGTCTTTGTAGTTGTCTCCTCCCTGGTCTCCCTGTTTCCACCCCAGCTCCCCTATATCCACTCTGGAGTGATCCTCAACCTCGGGCAAACAATGTCTTCCTCTGCGCAATACCTGCCCTTGGTTCCCAGCTCCTAAGACAATAAAAAGGCCTTCCAGTGTCCTCTGCCATCAAGCCCATTTCCTTTCTGTTTTCCTCTCCCTCCTGCGAGGGCCGGGCTGACCTGGCTCAGCAAGGCCAAAGGCTAACCTGGGTGGGTAGGAGAAAGGCGAGGCGGAGGGGTGAGGCACATTGATAGTGAACTAAGGGTCAAACCCAAATTGGCGGCGCTTGCCAAATTCTGAAGCGTAAACACCACTATGACCAATTGTAAGGTAATGTGGCGATGCTAATCGGTTGGGGAAAAGGTGAGAACAGACTTTGGAGAAGCTGTAGGCTGGTGGGAGCTGGCTCCAGCACCCCTTTGGCTCAGGTGCGTTTCTTAGGCTGGATGATGGTCACAGGTGCTTTTATATTATTCTTTGATATGTATGTGCACATCGCCATGACCCAAGAGGCAAGACCATTTAGTGATGAAGAGGTAAGTGAAAGGCCAAATTCCTGAGACCCCAGACCCAAGCTCAGTAGGGTGGTTCCCTGGGTGATGGAGATCTGAGCCAGATGGGGGAGGTTTGCCAGGCCCTGGGGAGGCCCTGCAGGAGAAGAGAGGAAGGAAGAGGCCAGAAAGACAGGACCTTTGCAGTGAAGTCAAACTGAATGTGGGGGCAGAGAGAAGGCCCTGCCTGCTGGCCGCAGGCCCCGCCCTAGCAATCCATTAAGTCCTTCAGAGCAGGGCTGTAGCTGGGAGAGCCCCTGTGCTGAGACTGGGCCATCAGAGGCAGAAGAAACCTAGATTTGAGCTTCAGCTCCACTTATCCTATTGAGAGGTGTTGGGAAAGTGTCTGTGATCTGCCTGTGAGCTGAAGTTAATGGCACATTCCCACGATGGCCTCAAGCAACACAGTAGACGCCTGGGCCTCTCACCCACCCTTCCCCCAGGTGGTGCCACCACCAGACTCTGGTAAAGAAAAATAAAGCTTGCCAGCTGCTGAGCTCACACAATGCACTGGGGTCAAGTGCCTTCATGCTGCACTTCAAAATCCTGCCAAGGGCATGGTGAGAGCGATATTGTGATGATAATCCCCCAGCTGGCTGAGGCTGGGGAGGTTCAAGTATCCTGTTTAAGGCCACACCCAAGGAGTGGCTTAGCTGAGCTTGGGGTCCAAGAAGCCTCATACTGTCAGTGCCACCAAAGGTGCCCAGGGAAGGAGTGGTCAGGCCTCCTTTTGGCAGATTGGGGCCCAAGGGGAGTCCAGGGGAACAGGGGACTGTTGCCCACTGGGGTGGATCATCTGCAATGGTGAGTGCAGACTTGGGGGACTAGACATCCCCCCAGCACTTGGCACAAAGCCTGGCATAAGGGCGGCCATGGTGGCCCTGAAATGAGAGTCCCTGAGGGTGTGCCTTAGGCCCCATGTGTGGTCTAGGATGGTGTAGACACCCCAAAGGGCGACCTACCCAATAAGACCAGGGGTGTTGACAGACCCCTCCACCCCACCCCGCCGTGTCCCTTGTTCTGACCTGGAAACAAGTTCGATCGCATGTTGTAGCCCAGATCATAGTAGTCAGAGAAGAGGGGGGATACTTTCAGGGGACTCTGGGTGCTGCTGGGCCACGAGTTGACCCTCTTCTGGTCCTCCAAGGCTTCACCAATGGCCCTTCGAGCCTGAAAGGGGAGACAAGGGATAGAGAAGCAGGGTCGAGCCCCTTTTCCCTTCTAACTCCTCCTTCCTCAGATCCTGCCCTCACCACCCCTACCCGACACTTAGCCTGCAACCTTTCACACCCCCCACCACCTTGTGCAGAGCTGGGGAGCTAGAATAGCTGAAGACCCTCCACCCTCACACCACCCCAGTCCTCACATGGACCGGGACTCCAGGGGTGACAGTGGTGACAAAATCTCCTCTGTGCATTGATCTCCTGCTGTGTTCCTCCATCCAGAGAAGTCTCTACAAGGCACTGTTGTTTCTGCTGTTTCATAAATGAGGCTCAAGGCAAGGCCTCCTAGAGTCCAGGCATCTTGCCATTTAGCTCCTTTGACTACTTAAGAGCCAAATCCTTCCTCACATCAACGGAGAAACTGAAGGCCTGAGAGGTTGAGCCCAAGCTAGCCACCAGGAGACCTGGCTGCTGTCCTGGTTCTGCCCTCGGCTGACTTCCGGCCAGACTGTACTCTCAGGGTCTCAGTCTCTGCATTTGTAAAATGGGGCTGGGAGCTTCCGGTTCTGATCATTGCTGGTTCCTCTAACCTGACATGTATGAGCCGTGTCACACATGGACAGCAAAACTAGATCTCTTCTTCCAGCCCAGGACCGTGATGGGAAAGAGAAATGGCCCCATCTCTAGGCTGAGAGGGGCAGTGAGAGGTAGTAACCACATTGCCAACCTCAAATTGGGGAACAGTCTCCAAGTGGGGCAGAACATTGGGGCAGTGGCCTCCCAGAAAACCTGGTGGGTAGGGTCACTTCACCTTAAGATGACAAAGTGGAAGGGGAACCACACCACAGTCTTTGTGACCCTGGCTCTTCCACCTGTTCAGTGTGACCCTGAATAAATCACAGCACTTCTCGAGCCTTGGTTTCATCATCTGTTAAAAAGGAAGCAGTAACTCCTGCCTTGCCTATTGCACAATGTAGTTGCTACAGGGTTGAGATGTTGGCTTGAAAATATGCTCCCAAATGCCAGAATAGGAAGAACTTTTGCCATTTGGCCAGAAATGGCAGGTAAAGTTTATCTCAACTTTTAGTTGATCAGGACTAACTCCCTAGAATGGTGTATCAGATGGGGAAAGCTACCAGCATTGATTAATGATGTCTGCCATGAATGCAGGCTAGGATAACTGGTATACATGCCAGTCTGATCTACTCCAACTGCCTTGCTTTATAGATGTAGGGACTAGAGCCCAGAGAGAGCAAGTAACTCACCCAAAGTCACCCAACATTCAGGGGGTAGAGCCAAGATTCAACCCCAAGTTTTCTGATTCCCAGTCAGTACTGTCTATCTACGCCATGCTGTTCCCTTTAGGAGACTCATGCAAGTTAAAAGCATCTGATTCCTATGTAAGACCTATCACTGAAAAGTCATCAAGGACCGGGGCTCCAGTGTCTTTTTTGGGTTCTCATCCCTCACAAATAGGTGAATTTGGTTGACTTGCCTAACACTTCAAGGTCTTAGACTCTGTGTCTATAAAATGGGGGTAGTAACAGTCCCTTCCTCGTTGGGAAGATTGAGTTGTTGTATGTGGAGGGTTTAAAGTGCCCAGAGCTGGCATGTAGCAAGTACTTAATAAACTCTGCATTCTGGTGCTGTCACTGAAGGGTCATGCCGTGTCCGAGGGGTGGCCGCTCAAGAGTGGGCTCCTTTTGGATCATCGTAAGCCTCTTTGTATAGCCCTCCTGCCGCGTAGCCCCGAACCCCGCTGACACCTGGTCCTCAGAGATGAGCTCGTCGACCACAGCGCTGCCGAACTTGTGGCGAATGTTGTCAGGAATGATGCTGCTCCGCTGGCCCTGGGCCCCCGGGTTGGGGCCCTCCTCCATCCCCTGGCACAGCTGAGCCCCCCTCGGATGGTGGTCTGGCTCTCCCTCAAAGAGGGTCTGTAGTCCCCCTTCTTCAGGGACTCAGGGTGCTGGTCCAACCAGGGGGAGTCCCCGTTGATTGCTGTGGAGGGTGGCGGCGGGGCCTCGTCTGGGTGGGCCTGCCCTCGGGGCCTCACTGCCCCCCGCAGAGATGGCTGTGGGGAGACTGGGGCCTGGTGCTTGAACTTCGAGGTGGCCAAGGGGGGGCAGGCAGTTCTCCAGGTGTCCAGGCCCTGCTGGCCTTCCTTGTTGTTCACTCAGGCTCTGGTCAAATGGGTTGTACCTGAACCGGGGGAGAGGGGGGGAGGGAGGGAAAGTATTAACTTGCCTGGGGCTCAAAAAAGAAACAGGATCTCACCCAGGTGATGCTGAAACCAAGTCCCACATCTTCCTCCTCCCTCGAGGGAACTCTCCGCGGCTGCCCCCTTCCTCATCCCCAGCCCTCAGCCGGTGTGTCCACAGCCGCGCCCCGCCTGCCTGGAGAGCACCCCCAGTCCAGAACAGGCCGGATGGGCTGGGGCTGAAGTGTGGGCTCCCTGCTAGTTTCCAACCTGGAGGGAAAGTCCCTGGAGATGTCGGGGAGGGAGGGAAAGCAGGTCCCGCACAGTCTGGGTGCTGGGCGCTCACAAGTAGCCCTGAGTGAGAAAAAGAGAAGATGAAACCCCACATCAGCTTGCCCCGGTCACCCCCCCGTGTCTGCCCACCGCCTTACCCTCTTTCATAACATCAGAAACGCGGGAGCCTCTCTGATGACCCCAGCCGCACAGCTGCTCTGAAGACCTGTGAGGTTGCCAGGCAGCCCTGCCCCCCTCCCCCTGCTGACTGGCGTCACCATGGCGCTCCCCTTACACGGGGCTCTGTTACCTCAGAGGGCTGCTAGCCCCTCTTTGGAAATGAGGCCCAGGAAAGCCAGCACCAAGGAGGCAGGAGGGGTGCTCGGGTGGTGTTCACTCTCTCATCCACTCAGAACGTCCCCCGAGTGCCCTCCGTGTGCCAGGTCAAGAGCCAGGCAAAGGGGCTCAGATGCCATCAAGCAGGAAAGAAATTCTTGGGATTACAAAGGAATAAGTAGAGGAATGATCGGTTCCGACTCAAGGAGGAAGATTCACAGAATACTCACGTTGGCCCTGGGGGTTGAAGGATGCTTCGGAGTGGAATAGTTTAGAAGGAGCGCAAACATTAGTGGCATCAGTGCGCTGAGCACATGAGTGTGGGCCGAGGGGAATGGAAGGGAGGAAAATATGCACCTGGAGCTGTGGAGCTGCATGTGAGGGGCCGGGCACCAGGAACCGTGTGGGCTACAGAAGATGAACAAAATTCAGAAGCTGTGCAGTTGGTGCCGGCAGCAGCTCAAGCCTGTGTGTACTGCTGGGCAGGAGAGGGTTTGTCTGGGGAATGCCAACTGCATAGCCAACCGTTCAGAGTCTTTCCAGGTGGCAGAGTGCATTGGGGTCCCCCAAGTGCGGGCTGGCCATTTATGAGAATGGCTTTGGTCAAATTCTTAAGCTAAACTTTCCTTGTATGTAGATCATACACATCTCACCTCCAGGGGTAAGGGTAAGATTGGACAAAGCCATTTTTGTGAAATACGTAGCTCATTGCCTGGCACAGAGAGTGATGCCAGGCATGAACCTATGGTGATGCCATTGGTGACTCACCAGTCCTTCAAAATACGCCAGATCGGGACCTCTCTATCCCAGTTCATACCACCACCACCTCTTGCCTGGTTGACACCCTTGGTTCCCTGCTTCTGTGCTTATCTGTTGCTACACAACAGCATTACCATGAACTTAACAGCTTAACACATTATCTCCCCCTTGCTGGGGAGGGGTCTGGGCCTGACGGGATTCTCCAGGGGCTCAGAAGGCTGTAGAGCTGCAGTCTCATCTGAGGTTCGACTGGGGAAGGATCTACTTCCAAATCAGTGTGGTTGTTCACAGGGCACAGTTCCTCATGGTCTGCTGGTCGAAGGGCCTGTTTCATACTGGCTGCCAGCCAGAGAGGCCAGTCTCATGTGGGCCCCCCAACATGTCACTTAATTCATCAGACTCAGCAAAGAAAAATGCCCATCACTAGATGGGCGATACAGTTGTGTGTATTGTCATTGAAACAGGAAGTCACTAAGGGCTGCTGAACAACTTGCCTATCATAATGGTCGGGGTTATCATGACTCCCTCCTGGTGTTCTAAAAAGTCCTGGATCAACTCAAACTGACAAAACTACCTCATATCCCACACTGCTGTCTTTTGTTGGTTAAACACAAATGACAGGTTCCACCCACACCCAACGGAGGGATCCCACAGGGTGTGGACATCAGGCTGCTACTTGCTGGCATCCATTTCTTGAATACACCAGAATCTGGCCTGAGGGCCTCTGCACTGGCCACTTCTCAGCTGTAACTTTCTTTCCCCAAGTATCTACATGACTTGCTTTCCCACTTCCTTCAGGACTCTGCTCACCTTCCCAGATCACCTTTTTGAAAATTCAAACCTACCCACACTCCCCATTTTTTTCACCCTACCTTTTCTTCTAAAGCTACCCAATATTCATCTGTTCTTCCTCCAAGGAGGATGAGACCACATGTGAGGAGGGGCTGGGCTGCAGAGCTCAGTGGGCCAGGTGCCCAGTCACTGTGGCTGCTGAGTGAGTTCTGGGATTGGAGAAGCAGGAAGAGGAGGAGTTGGGGGGAGGTGCAAGGAGGAAGAGGGAGTTGTCATCATCAGGGAGAAGGCCTGCGTGGAGGCAAGAGGTCGGCCATCCAGGCTACCCTAACCCTCCCCCACTGTGGACCCACAGGCCTTTAGCTCCTACCCCACCCACCAGCCCCCAGGCAGCCTCTGCAGAATTTATTGAGCAACTGATTGCCCTGGAGCTAGGCAAGGAGGCCTTGGTCCTTGGCGCTCTAGAACCCCATCTTAACCCAAGAAGCCTGGACGGCGGAGAGCAGGGAATTCCCAGTAGGTGGGTCTAGAAGGATCTGGAAAACCTATTATGGGAAACTTGAAATCCAGCCATGTGGGTCCAATCTACCAGGTTACTTTCTTCTTCTGGAGCTTCCTGGTCCACACGGCCAGAGCATGAGACCCCCCCACCCCGAGGTGAGCTGCTTCTCCAGCCCCTTCTCCTGTTGCTCCCCAAGGGTCTTAGTCTGGGCCAGGAAGGGCACCCAGGGTGGAGGCCAGCTCCCTTGACCTGCTCTGAGCATGGCCTCTTCCAGAGGCCCCAGGGCCTATGGGGATGCCTTTTTGGACACTCTTGAAGAAAAGCCAGCTGCCTCCTCCTCCCCGCTCCCCCCTGGGACCGGGCAGCAGAGGGGCTAGTGCCTGCTCAGCCCTGCTTTCATCTCTGGCTCGCAGGTCGGTCCCAGCACACCCTGGGGCTGAGCCCACGTGACAGAGGCCGGCAGGCGGCTTCCTTTGCCAAAACTGAACAATAATGTGGTGTCCTCGGCGTGGCTTTCTCAGAATGCAGCTGGTTTCTTTGCTTGGCGGGATCTCGGGAGCCTGAGGGGACGGGAGGACGGGGCACAGAGGAAAGCCAGGCAGGCAAGTACAGCTACTTTTATTCCGGTGGTGCTGGGGAAGGGGGCAGCTGGGGGCGGCAGCGCTGAAACTGTGTGGTTCTCCTTGCTGAAGAGCTAAGAACCAGCTGCAGGGAGTGCTGGAGCCATGGCACCGGAGGGCTCAGGGCGCGGAGGAGAGGCCCAGGGTTCAGGCCTTCCCCTGGGACACCAAGGTCTCCCGGGGGGCCCGGTGGAACCACTCGAACCAGGAGCCGTCGTAGACGGCCACGTCGGGCTTGCCGCACAGGTAGGCGGACAGGGCCAAGTGGCAGGCGGTGACGCCCTTCCGGCACGTGGCGATGATGGGCTTGGCCAGGTCCACCTTCTTAGCCTGGAACATGGCCCGGAGCTCCTCGGGACTCTTCTCGAAGCCGTCCTTTGTCATGAGCTCCGTGAACGGCATGTTGAGGGCGCCTCGGATGTGGCCGGACTCCAGTCCTGGGCGGGGACAAAGGACAATGGGAAGGGCAGGGTGAGGAGAAGGCATGGGATAGGGCAAGGAGGGTGGGCGGGGGTGGCAGCCACCAGCCTGGACTGTAAGGACAGCGAACTTCACAAATAAAAATCTTTGCCCTCCTGGGAGCTTGGTTTATTCCCAAGCCTACCTATGTTCTTAAGTCGTGACTGCAGAAACGTGTCCACATCCCCCACCCTCCAAACCTGCCTGGAAGTAGGAATGGCCAAGATCACACCTGCTAAAAGGCCGGGAGATTGAGTCTCAGCTCTACCTTCTCCTAACTGCCTTGGGCAAATCGCTTCACTTCTCTGAGCCTCAGTTTTCTCATCTGTAAACTGGGCTCGGGGCACCATACCTATCTCACGCCGTTGTTGAGAAGAGCAGTGCGAGCTGCCGTGCCAGAGGCTAAGTACACAGTGGGGAGGGGAGAGACACAGCCCGAGCTTCAGTCTAGCGAGCCCATGGGCTAGCAAGGATGACAGAAGTTAAACAGTCACAGCATTCACCAGCTACATTGCTCCACCTGACAGATGACACAAGGCTTGGCAAGATGAAAACGGCCGGCTAAGGCCATGCAGAGGGCAGGCCCGGCGCTGCCCCGAGCCACATGCGAGCTGATGTTCTATAGACATGAGATCAAATCCCAGCGCTGCCACTTCGGGCAGGGTGACCTTAGCAAGTCACGTCGTCCCTCGTGGATAAAATGGGAATGGAATGTTCCTGTGCCCCGGGCTGGGCTGCTGGGAGTAGCACATTCTCTGCCTGGCTGCGCCCCCACGTCACATGCCCCTGCTCCTACCACTTCACTCCTGCCACGGCAGTGAGTATGAATGGGGGCCTAGCAGCAGCACTGCCAGTGAAGAGTGGGAGCAGGCTGGGAGTCTAGGCTGGCTCTGGGATCCCTTCCAGAACTGTCTCCACAGCCAGTAAGACCCCTCTGCCACTCTGGCTTCAGAATAGCCAGCGTCTGGGACAAACGGGGCAGGGGGCAGGGCCACAGACAGAGCTGGCCACCTGCTGAGTCAAGGTCTGGGTCTCACCCCCGCCCCATGCTTCCCTAAGTGCTCCCCTCTTCCTCAAACATCCCTCATCCTGGCAGACTCTGGATGTGGGTCTCCAGACAGATTTGGGGTTCTTTGGGCTCCCCTTCCTTCAAAAATCCCACTACTCCTTCAATGCACATCATGGGCAGGACCAGAGTGGGCAGGCGTGGCAGCGGGGGACCTGACAGGGGTGACCAGGGCGCACTGGGGCAGTGTGCGGCCAGGCAGGCACTGAAGCTCTGGGCCTCTGTTTCCCCTCCTGTGAAATGGGGAGCTGTCCCCCGCCCCCTGCAAGGGCTGGGGGGAAGCTCAGCTACTACAGATGAGAGCCCCCCATTGATCCCAAGCGCACAGTAGGTGTGCGATGGTGCCAGCAAGGCCCCATCCCCTCTCCCCAGGTCAGAGGGATCCTGAAATTCACAGACATGACTTAAAAGTCCCCTTGACTGAACAGATGTCGTAACATAAAATGCTACCAGCTTCTTTCTCTTGCGATGTCAACATTTGTCTGGAAACTTCCCTGAGGTGTGATGTGTGCTGACCCTGCCAAGGAGGAGCAACTGGCCTGCTGGCTTCCAGGCTGCCCTTTGCCAAGAAACCCAAATTTAAGGGGTTTCAGTGCCAGGCAGGGGGCTGACACCAAAGCCCAGAGATTGGAAGCTCTGAGCCATATTTCCTTCACCACCACTCCCCACCCCCCATAAAATGGCTTCATTCTCTTATTCTGGTGGCATAAAAGGCACCTCTTCTGAGTCAAGAAGTCGGGGGGGGGTGGTTTTCTGTCGACTCTGGCCTCCCACACTGCACCAGCCTGAGGAGGTGGGGTCCCCCTCTACCCCTCAGCCTCAGAACCCACCAAAGGAACATAAATGAGCAGGAACTGCCGCCTGTGTGGGAAGGCCAGGATGAAAGGGCCCGGAGAAGCCTGGAGAACAGCCAGCTGGAGAAGGTACATCGGGTACAGAAGCAGGAGCTGCTCCTCTCCCCCATGTCCAGCCTCAGCTGCAGGCTGGCGGCTGTCCCTCCCAGCAGGCAGCCCACCACGCTCGTCCCCTGGCACCGACAGTGGCTTCTTTCAAGAATTTCGTCTTCCCCCATCCTCACAAAGTAGGGGAGCTTATTCTCCTGGCACCATGAGGGGGTCCAGGCTCAGAGAGGTGAAGTAACCTGCCCTAGGACACACAGCATGGGTGTATGAAGTGAAGTCAGGTCTGCCCGACCCCAGGACCTGTGTTCTTTGACCTTCCTGAGCCTCACTGGCAAAGGGAACCAGTCAGACGATCTCAGGTGCCCCTAACCTGCTTGGGGGCCTGGGATTTTGCGTCACCGCTCCATCGAGGAGATTCAGTACAATGAGTGAGTTAATCTGTCTCAGGTCATCGGTGGGCATGGGCCGGGGAAAACTGGCTTTTTCTCATCAAGCGAAAGTCTTTGGGGTTCCTCCCAATGATACTAAGGGAATCCAGGGCAGGTGGCCCCACAGGGCAGCCCCCAATCCCGACCACTGGGAAGTAACTCGGCACCCTCCCGCCCACCCCTCGCCACAGCCCCGGGAGGGGGAGACACAAGCAGGGGCCCCACGAAACAACAGCAACACCAAGGAACGCGGCCTCCCTGGTGCCCGTGTGGCTTACAGAGCAGCAGCCTTGGGAAACACCCCCACTTTAATGCGCACCGACTGGGGTCAAGTCTTAGCCCCTCAGTCTCCTTAGAGAAGTCTCGTCTTTCCCCCACCTGCAAACTGGGACCAATCTTAACCCCCAAACCTTCTACCTACCTCTCATGCAGGAATGCTATGGGCCTTAGGGGGAGAATGTATGTGAAGGGGTCTGCAAATATCTGTGCTCTTAGGGGGTCAATAGCCCCCCTTCACCCTCACCACCCCCTCCCAGGCGAGAGAGAAATCTGGTAGAGTTTATGAAGACACTGGGCTGGATAAACTCCCACTTCTGATGTCTGGCTGCCCCCCCGACCCATGCTCCAATGTAGTGAGCAGGGTTCCCTTCATGAGTGGGGTTCCCTTCATTAAGGAGAGGGGTCGGAGGTGAAGGGGCAGGCACAAGGCCACACACACCAGAACCACACCAGGGCAGAAACTCAGGCCCATCCAGCTCCGAGACTGCACCCCTTGTGAGGACAGGGCCTAAGACGTGGGGCAGGGGCGGGGGGGGTGCTGGGACACCCGAGTCTGCACCACTCCCCTGGGTGTCGCATCTGGGCTCTGAGCCTCAGTCTCCTCATCCCTAAAATGGGACGGAAGAGCTCGGGTGGGCATCTCCCGACTCGTCCTCACTCCACCAGCTGGGAAGCTGCTCGAGAAACACTCCCGGGTCCTGTCCCGGCGACAGCCTCAGTCTCAAGCAGAGGGTGCGTCTCCTGAACAAGGCCAGGAGGAAGTTGAGGGGTGCTGTGCCAGAAGGCTCTGGAAGGTGCCAGATGAACTTGAATCTTTAACTCCCAACTCTCCGAGAACAAGCTGGGCTACAAAAACCCGGCACGGGTCTGGGAAGGGGCCCCGCGTAGAGGCAGCGCCCTGTTCAGCCACTAACTGGCCTCGTGGCCTTGACCCACCCCATCCTCTGCGTGCCTCGGCCTCCCCTCTGCCCCACAAAATGACTTTCAGCTCTAAGAGTGCTGCCCGCAGCTTTCACGGAGCTCTCTCCCAAGGACACCGTGCACAAGAAGAGACACTTTTTAACAAGTTAGAATCTGCAAAGGGGTCATGAAGGAGGGCGGTATCACTGTCCAGGGGTGCCAGCACGGACCCCCAGGGCCCTGAGGTCAGGTTCCGGCCACCAGGCAGGCCAGCAGGGGTGATGGTGAAACCTCTGAAGTTCTATTAGGAAGCTCTAGATTTCAGCCGCCTCCTGAGGCTCCCCCCACTTCTAGCAGTAGAGAATCACCCCCCCACCTCCCTTGGTCCACAGGAGGGGACTGAGGAGCCATCTCCCCTGTCCCTGAGGACCCCAGGAGGAAGGGGCTGGCTCCCAGGCCTGGGAGGTAGGGGTGGGGCCGGATGGTGGGGCAACCTGGTTTAGCCCCGGGCTTTAAGCTGGGGCCACTGACTTCCACTCCCAACTCGGCCGCTCCTCGTGCAAGTAACTTAGAGTCCTGGGGTCTGTCCCCTCCCCTCTAAAATGGGGATATGAAGTTTGTTGGAGGAGATAAAGAGGAGCTGCCGAGGGCTTAGCAGGAAACGCAGCTGCCCTGACTGACGGGTCAGCGGCCAGGGAGAGCTGGAGGAGATGCTGGAGGACGGCTGCTGCTAATGTCTGTAAGGGGTTCTGGGGAACTAGAGAGGCCCTGAGAAGCTGGGGGCCCTTGGGAGACCCCCAAGTATCAAGCACAACACACTGTGCACTGAGTGCCCTCTAGAGGGGCCCCTGGTGCGCGGTGCAGAGTACAGAGATATGTGTGTGTGGCTAATGGACACACCCCAGTGCAGGTGGGGTACTAGTGCCCGGCGTTGCTGTGGGATGTCACCACCCTGCTGATGCCACCCCACACAGACACCAGGCTCCTTGCAGCATGTGGCCCAGGGGACACACACGTGGGTGTTCATGCATCAGAAGGGGCGGGGTCTTACAGATGGAAAGCCAAGGCCCACATGGGAGGTAGGGCCTTGAGGGCAAAACCCTAAGAGAATCCCAGACATCCTTGCTCCCCATCCTTCACTGGACACTGCTCCCCAGGAACATCCACCCACCGAGACACCTACCGACTACATCTGGTTCGGCTTCGGTGCCCAGGTACCGCCCTTGGGGCCTTGAATCCACCAGCTGGTACTTCTTAGATTTGAGGTTCTCCAGCACCTGCTCGTAGGTCCTCACCAGGGAGCGGTCCAGGGAGGCTTTGAAGACAGCCGGCTCCGGCCGGGTGGGCTCAGATGTCACGGGGTGGCCCTCCTTCAGCCAGTTGAGGAAGCCCCCGTTGAGCACGGACACGGTGGGGTGGCCGAACACCCGGAACATCCACCAGACCCGCGGCGCGTAGAAGCTGCCCAGCTTGTCCCCGTCATACACCACCACGTGCGTGCTGTTGCTGATGCCCAGGCGGCCCACGTAGGCTGCAAAGCCGGCCTCGCTGGGCAGCATCATCTCGTAGGGGGACGAGTTGTCGCGGCACTCCTCTATGTCGAAGAAGGAGGCGCCGGGCACGTGGCGCTCCAGGTACTCTTTGCGGGCCTCCCGCGTTCCCGGCGAGTACCAGGACGCATCCAGCACCCGCAGGCTGGGCCCCACCTTGCCATTGCGAACCGACTCCGCCAGCCACTTGGTGGACACCAGTGCCCGAAAAAGCGCCTGGTGAACCATGGTCGCAGCTCTGCGTGCCACCTGGCGCAGGTGGGAACCAGGACAAGGGCGTGAGGGCTGTGCGCGGCGGAGGACACCTTGGAGGAGGCGCTTCTGAGCCGCCCCGCGCCCCCAGGGGCGTGTGTTTACAGCAACCAGAGGGGCCGGGCATCCAGGGGCGCGGGTCTGCAGATTCCCAATGAAAGCCTGCCCCGCCCCTCCCCGGGGCCCGGCTCGGGAGTGGGTGGGGCCAGCGCTCCAGAGCGCCCCAGTGGCGCAGCTGCCTTGGGGGTGCGGGGGGGGGGCGTGTGCGGGAGAAACTGGAACACAGGCCCCCGGGATCCTGCTGGAAATGGGCAGCATTTCCCGGGCTGGGGGGTGGGAGGAGCGGGAGCGAAGCATCTGCGCCTAGAAGCTCTTTCTAGGGGAGCGTGGGAGCGCGGGAACGGGGCGCGCCCCTAGAAAGCGCCCCCCGCGCGGCCTCTCTCTGCAGCCGGGGCTCGCTCGCCTCCGGAATGCCCAAGTCCAGCCCCGGTTCGGCGTCCTCTGTCCCAGCTGAGGCTGGGGTTCCCGGGAATGCGCCCGGCTCTCGGCTCGGGACCTTGCCCGGGGCCACAGGTGGCCGGATCCGAGGCCCAATCCCGAGCGCTCCGCGCGCGCCTGGCCGCGGCCGCCGCCCCCCGCCCCATGGCACTCGGGCGCCCCGGCCCCCGGCCGCCGCCCTGGGGCTCGCCCCTGTCAGCTGGGGAACTTGGCAGGTTCAAACCCGGAGCCCGCCCCGCCCCGGCCGGCCGGCACCATCTCGCAGGCGCCGTGGGGGGGGCCGCGCAGCGTCCGCCGCGGTCCGGAGCCTCCCGACCCCCGGCCGCGTGCGCCCCCGGCCGCGCCTGGCTGCCGAGAGCCCCGCAGACCCCCGGGACCCGCCCGCGAGCGCCCGAGGGCGCGCGGCCTGGTGGCGCGTGGCGCCGGGCGTGGCCGTCCCCCGCGGCCGGCAGTGGACGGCGCCGGCAGCCGCTACTCCGAGTGGCCTAGGCGGTGGGCTGTGCCGGAGCCTCCTCCCTCGGCCGGCCGCAGGTGGGTGGCGGGAGGAGGGGACCGCCCCGGGTGCAGGGAGGGGGCGCCCCGCCGCGGGTTATGGCCGAGCTAGGAAGCCAGGAGCCCGAGATCGGGGTAACTGCTGCGGCGTCGCGCTTGGCTTTAGGGGGAGGTCGATCGTTGGGGTGCTCGTTGCAGAGCTCCCCCGCGGGACCTTAGCTGAGGTGGGGGCCTCGGGCTAGGAGACCGGGGTCACCCTAAGGATGGCTGTCCGCAGCAGCTTAGGGCAGCCCACAGCGCCGGGTCTTGGTGAGTGGCCAGTGGGGCGCCTAGTGGGTCTCCTGATGCCACCAGAGAGGGCAGGCGGGAGGAGGACCTGTATGGCCCCACAAAGAGCCCAGGAACAGGAGACCCACTGACGCAGAGGTGGGGGGGGGGTTGTTGGGGGGTGGCGGGGACAGGTAAAGAAATTGCTGGAGTGAAAGGAAAGTAACATTTGCCAAGGCCTATTTGGTTAGTTCCCAAAGATTGGAGGGGGTTAGCACAGGCTGGGAGGGAGGCCCAATCAGTGGCCTGGGGCGCAGGGGGTGTCAGGCCAGGCTGTGGCCAGTCCCAGAGCAGAAACCCGCTTAGTTTACCTTGTTCATCCCTGAGGCTCATACTTTTTAAAAATTGCTCTACCGTCTGGGATGCTGTTCTCATTCCACTTTAATAAACCCTTTCTATTCTGAAATAATTTATATCTCACAGAAAGTTGCAAAGCTGCATACTGTGATAAGCAATTGCCCTGATGACGCCTCTGAGCTTTGAGCTTTGCCCAGCAGGCTGGGGGATGTCCTTGAAATGACCTGTCAGGGCCCACCCCAGGTGGCAGCCTGGGCTCACATCCCACTAGTGCAGCTGCTCCGCCCCTGAGGCGGCCTGGGGTTGTCTGCCTGTCGGGGACCTCCACTCCCCCAGCAGGGGGCCTGCAGGGGCCCACGCCAGCCAAGCACATTGGGGCCTGGTTTGCACTCATCAGTGACTCTGACACCACCTCCTCCCCAGGCCCCCCCTCCTCTCCACTGTCCTGTGTGAGAAACACCAATCAAGCAGAGGTGGGACAGGATGACCTGGGAAGTCCCACCCAGTCCTGAAATGTTGGGATTCTAAAGTTGCTGCTGAGGGTTCAAAGGCACCTATGAGAGTAACTTGGAGGAAAGGATGGGATTTTTATTAAGCCATTTATACTGGTTTTTAAAACTAGCCATGTTAGTGCGTTTGTTAATTAATCTCCACTGTAAGGTTGAGATTGTAAGAAATGTAAGAAATGGCCCATTGTAAGAAATGGCCGTGGCTGGAGCGCCTACGTGCCCACCCTCATACAGTCAGCTAAACAGCAGAGAGGATATGCGCTGGCTGGGGCGTCGGGTGGCTCTTCTCCCAAACCAGGGTTCTTTACAGTCTGAATGGACCCTGGGGGAAACATCAAGGAGGCCCAATAATAGAGGGGCAGGAGCTGCGGTGGTTCACAAAAGGTTCTTTAAGAAGGAGCCAGAAACATCCCCCAACAGTGTCTAGCTGTGGTATAACCCACAGATACTGGGGTCACCCCTTAGCCAGCCCTCTTGGCGGCCTCCTTATCATGAAGGTTAAGCTGTAGTTTCCTGGGCCCCTGAAAAGTTGAGGTCAATTTGAATTTCCCCCTCCTCCAGGAAGGCTTCCCCGCCCTCCTGCTCCCAGTCAGCCAGGGCTGAGCCAGGTACACCTCTGTGCTCACACCGAATAGACTTGTCTCAATTACACTGTCTCCTGAACAGGCTTGTGGCCTGTCTTTGCCCTCAGGGCCTGGCAAAGTCAAATCTCTGTGTCCAGCGCAAGGCCTGGCAGTGGGCAAAGTGGGTTTTTAAAAGCCAGCCTGCAAGGATACTGTGGGAGGAGATGGGCATGAGGCGTTACACTATGAACCTATTAAGCCCTGGTCAGCATTGACCTGAGGCTGCAGAGTGTAGCCTCCAGAGTTTAATTCTGCCTTCACGCCCTGAGGCTGTCCTGACCTGCTCCATGATCAGGGCCAAGGTCCTTGATCTCTGCCAGTTGCCTCATTCCGAAAACAGGGATCCTGATAGACCTGTGACCTAAAGCTGGGGGCTCAGCTCCTGGCCTGGCCCACAGGGGCACTCCAGAAAGCAGGTGCTCTCTATCCAGCCCTTGCCCTGGGTGGCACGGGTGCCCTAAAGGGAGGTAGAGGTTGTGGCTTGCACAGTTGCCTGCTGAGCCGGTACATTCTCAGCTGCTGGCCTGCAGGAGAGAGGGAGTGGAGGCTGAGTCACCGTTACTACTGCTGAAAGAAGATTCTGGCAGAAAACTCAGGCTTCAGGGGCAAGATCTGGCCCTGCTGGTCTGAGCCGCTGCAGAGTGTGTGTCAGGGAGAAGTCTGGAAGCTTGGTGCTGTCACTTCTTAGCTGTTGACCAGGATCAGGTTTTAGTTAGTGCCCTTCTGTGAGCCTCAGCGTCCCCCTTCACGATGCAGTGAGATAATTAATGCCAAAGCGTGGGGGTCCGCTCTTGCTGTCTGCTCCGTGTCCCCCGTGCTCTGAGATACCGTGGGGGTGAAAGTGGATGCGAAAGTGGACGCAGCAGGGACCCATCTCAGCCACTGCTGCTGCTAGGCTGCGCGTTAATTGTTGGTTGAGTAGGTGAGTGGATTCCATCAGGGATCTTGGTAGGGTGCAAAGGAAGCTGAGCTGCATGCTAGGGAGGGACTGAGACTTTGCCCCTCTTGCCTGATGTCAGTGCCAGCAGGGTCCAAGGGCCCTCTCCTGACCTGGGACCTGCCTCCCAGGTAGCGGCTGGGGGAGGGGACGCGCGGCCCTGGTGAGAGGTGATGAAATCTGCACGTGGGCTTACCACTGATGGTTTTCTGCGCCACTGTCCCTGGACTCTGCCCTTTCCCGGGCCTAGCCATCAAACCAGCTTCTTGCCACATTCCAGGGCCCAGCCTCTCGGTGTTTCCTGCCCCGGAAACTCCTCCTAGGTCCAGAGATTCCCAGCTGACATTCTCCCTGTCACCCAGGCCTGCAGCCCCAGTGTGGCGGGGGACGCCATGGCTCGACAACAGCTCTTCCGAGCGCTGGTGTCGGCACAGTGGGTGGCAGACATGCTGCAGGCCCCCAGTGCCAAGCAGCCCCTGAAGCTGCTGGATGCCTCCTGGTACCTGCCGGCGCTGGGCCGCAACGCGCAACGCGAGTTCGAGGAGCACCACATCCCCGGCGCAGCCTTCTTTGACATCGACCAGTGCAGCGACCTCACGTCGCCCTACGACCACATGATGCCCCCGGCAAAGCACTTCGCGGACTACGTGGGCAGCCTGGGCGTGGGCCCCACCACCCACGTGGTGGTCTACGACGCCAGCGACCAGGGCCTGTACTCCGCGCCGCGCATCTGGTGGATGTTCCGTGTCTTTGGCCACCGTGAGGTGTCCCTGCTCAATGGCGGCCTCCGCAACTGGAAACGCCTGGGCCTCCCGCTGAGCTCGGGCAAGAGCTGCCCGGCCCCCGCCAAGTTCCAGGCCAAGCTGGACTCCACCTTTATCAAGACGTTCCAGGACATCAAGGAGAACCTCCAGTCCCAGCGCTTCCAGGTGGTAGATGCCCGCGCCAATGGCCGCTTCCGCGGCGTTGACCCCGAGCCCAGAGAGGGTAAGTAATCAATGGGTGAAGGGGTGGGGTGGGGAGTTGCCAGAGACAAGGTGGGGGTGCCCTGGATTCTGCCCTGCCTCCCCCTTTCCTTTGCAGCACATCACAGAGGGTGGGGGTCCAGGATCTGGTTTCTCTTCGCCTCCCTCTCCCAGTCTGCTGCCTGTATTCCTAACGCAGGTCATTAGTGTTGCCCCCCGCCCATGTTTGGGGGGCAGTGACCACCTCAAGCTCACTGGGAACCCAGGGTGCGTGGTGTAAGTGGGAGGCCCAAAGAACCCTGTCCGGACAGTGATGGGAGTAGGGGGTCACTGCGGGCGAGAAAGGAGGGTGGCCAGGCACAGAGTGGGGAGAAGCCCAGAGGGCCGGGGCCTGATCCTCCCTAAGGGTGATGGAGTCATGAAAGAGGGGGAGTCCCAGCTGCTGAGTGAAGGGAGAGTTTTGCAGAGGGTGGGTAGAGAGGGGGCACTAAATAGAGTGCTACACACCCCTAACCCACGACTGAGCAGAAACAGAATAGAGGGTGTGCTGGCCTGATTGGAGCCAAGTATGTGGTGGGGAGTGAACCCCACTGCTAAGAAACAAAGTCCACTCGGATCAGTGTGGAATCTAATTGGCTGTATCAAGCTATTCTCATCTAGAAGTAGCCAGGGCCCCAAGGACTTGCTCTAAATGGAAAGTTTTTACAGTCAGAAAGAGGGTGGGCCAAGGTCCTTAGCAAAAGAAAGTCCAGATTAATTGGTCTAGAATTCTACTTTGGGGAGAGGCTGGACCTGCAGTTAGGTTAGCTGCCCACTCTTGGAAGCTCGGTGTGAGCGACTCCGTTTGGGGCCTGTTGCTCTTTTCCTAACACTGGCCAAGCAGGCACATCGGTAGCTGCGCTGGTGTGAGCCTGAGGAGTGGGTGCTGTCTTGGTACAAAGGAGGAAGTGGAGTCTTAGGGTGGCTCCCTTGCCCCAGGCCGCAGCAAGCAGCCCCGCCAGAACTGAACTCCAGACCAGGTACATTTAATCACAGCGAGCAACCTGCCATTTCTCTTGCTTGCTCAGAGAGGGTGCCAGGAACTTGCCACTTCCTCCAGGAAGTTCTCCCTGACTGGCATCTTCCTTGACCTGAATCAAGGTTGGAATCAAGCGCAGAATCCTGTTCTGCACTTCCAGCGCAGCTTGGGCTCATCCTGCCCCAGCACTGTTTGGGGTGATCTAAGGGCAAGGATCATTCTTGCCCCCAGTGCATTCCGAAGATGAACCTAGCAACTGGCAACAAGTCAATGTCCCAGAGAGGGTTGGTGAATTCAGAATGCCCCTGCCACATGGAGCCCCGCAGAGCAGTGCTGGCGTTAGGTCAAACCCTAGGAAAATATCCAGCCAGTTTTGAACCTGCAAAGGTGGGGGTTCTTATGGCATATTTTAATAAGGACACCACTTTGAACCTGCTGGATCCTTCAGCCCAGCCCCCTGTGGCCGGCAGGGTGGGAGATGCAGGATACAGAGCAGCATAAGGCCAGGGCCAGGCCTGGGTTCAGTGCCCCAGGTTGCACTGACTGACACCGGGCAGGTCACCTAACCCCTGAACTGCAGAATCCATGTGTGGCGAGTGGGAACGGGGTCACGGAGCTTCAAGGGCACAGCGAGGCCCAAATGTCAAATGAGCACAAGCGTGTTAAGTACTCAGCCCTGTGCTCGCACACACAGGATGTGCTGGAGAAACAGGAAATGGTGTGATTAGTCGTGCTTCTCCAAGCATGGCCTTTGCAGAGCTGCTGGATGCTTGGTCATGCTCACTGGTCCATGATGCCCACCCGGCAGAGTAGCTGTCACGGTGATGTGAGCTGCTGGACTCCATGTGAATGAGGACTCCAGCTAAATCAGCAGAGAAAATCGCTGTCTCCCTCGCTGCCATCCACAGCCAGAGACCTCGCTTGTACTTTGCCACGCGGTCCAGCAGAAAGGAGAGCATGCTTCCTTTGGGGGGCCCAAGGCCTGGGGACAGCCCTGTGCTGACAGTGGCCAGCGGGTTGAGATCTGACTCTTCTTGCCCTGCTGGTATCCGAGGGAGTCCTCTTTCTGCACCTGAGAAGTGGGGGTGCAGGATGCATTCCCCCTACCCATGAGTCCTTAGAAGGGATATTGGTGTGAGTCAGCAGCTCCCTGTAGGAGGGGAAACTGAGGCAGAAGTCACCCTAGAGCCCAGCTCTAGAGTCTAAATGGCCAAGAGTTGGACCAGTGGCAATGGGAGTTTATTTTGTTGCAAATCTCAGTCCTCAGCATGAAAATGGGAATATTAGCAACACCTGCCTATGAGGGGTGGTGAAAAGAAGTGGGTTTGGGGAGCCCTGAGGTTTGCAGAGGTGTACGTGAGGTTCTGGTCCTCTCACTGCAGAACCGCCTGGCCTGGCCCACATTCTTCATGCAGCCAAATCCTCTTTGGAAAACAAGTCTGGTTTCCCCTTGGCATCAGGTCAGAGTCCTAAATCTTAATCCAGACCCGCTAGGGTGTCCCCGCTGCATTTCCTCCCTCTCCCCACTCTCTGGGCAGTTTTGCATCATGACCATTAAGCCCTCGACACCGTGGGATTCCAGCTGCCTCCATTCCCTCTGCCGGCGGCGCTCTCAGACCCCAAGGGCACACAGTTGGCCATCAAGGGCCTGGAGCCATGTGACTCCGTGGGGTCCGAGCCTGAGGTCCAGATTCCGGCCGGCACGGCTTTGGCAGTGTTGGACCTCGGCCTCCCAGGCCTGGAGAAGGCAGGGGCCCGCGGCTGGGTGTGAGGACACCAGGCGGCGATGCAGAGAGGCTCGGCACCTCAGGGGAAGCGGGCCCTTCCTGCGGCCCTGGTATTTGTTCCTTCGTCTGTTCCTTCTGCAGGCATCGAACCTGGTCACATTCCCGGTGCCATCAACATCCCCTTCACAGACTTCATGACCCAGGACGGCCTGGAGAAGACCCCCGAGGAGCTCCAGCGCCTGTTCCAGGACAAGAAGGTGGACTTGTCCCGGCCCCTGGTGGCCACGTGCGGCTCCGGGGTCACCGCCTGCCACGTGGCGCTGGGGGCCTACCTCTGCGGCAAGCCTGACGTGGCCGTCTACGATGGCTCCTGGGTGGAGTGGTTCATGCGGGCCAGGCCGGAGCACGTCATCTCTGAGGGCCGCGGGAAGACGGAGTGAGGCAGGCAGGACACACCCCCCTGCGCGCTGGGCCCCGCCTGGGCTCTGACTCAGCATCATCAGACTCAGGTGGGGTGCGGGGTGACTTCCCAGAGGCCAGGAATTCCGAGGACTTGTGGGCTCCCAGGGGAGGCTGGGCAGGTGGCCGGCCTGGAAGAGGGGAGCTGCCCACGTGCTGAGCTAGGGCCTCCCCTCCCGCCTGTTAGAACTGAGGAAATAAAACAGCCAAGTGCTAAATCCTTCTAAGCACGGAGCTGCCTCTATTTCCCTGGTGGTGCCAGGATGCCAGGCCAAGGGTGCTTCTAATGCCCAAGGGGGAGAGGGGACAATGGGGATGGAGGTGGGGAAGGGCCTCTGAGCAATGCAGGGCCAGAGTCCTTCCATTCCTGTGACATCTCCCCCACCCCCCCAAACCCATCCTCCACACCATGATGCTGGACTCTCCTGGTTCCCTGGGCTTTAAGGTGACTTGTGAGGGTCTGTCTGGAGGCCTGCACACAGCCCCCATAGGTAAGCAGTACATCTCATTTCAAGAGAATGACGGGTCCACAGCTTAATAAAAGGCTGTGCTGTGCTGTGCTGGGGAGAGCTATCCCACCCTGCCAGAATATTCTAGAGGAGGGTCGAATCTAGTTTTGACTGTGGAAGCTTCCCTTGGAGGCTGATCCTCCCTGCACCAGGACCTCTTCCCCCGGTTGGCCCAAGGAGGGGCTCCGCTTCCTCCCTCTGTGTGGGTGCTATGTGTGGAGTGGAGGGGGACAGAGGTGCCTTGAAGGCCCCGTGTCAGAAACTGGGACACCCCTCTGCATCTTAGACTCCCCAAGGAGCCGGCTCTGTGGCCGTGGGGCAGTGCTGTCTGGTGTGGAACCCTGGAAGTTACGTTGTCCAGAGAAGGACCTTGATTTTAACCAAGGTCACAGGGATTTACGACAGTCAGGACCAGACCCAGGTGTTCTGACCCTGCGTTCACTCATCTTTTCACCTACAAGCCCCATCCCACTCTGATGCTGACGGGTCTCCCAAGCCCGCAGGGGTGGAGGGAACCCACAGGAATCCTGGCTTTTCTGTATAAGAGCTCCAAAGTCCCAGCCTCTCCAAGCCTGTTTCTTCAATAAAAATGGGAGTCATACGTGCTGGAGAAGGAGGGGATTCCGCGAGGAGCTAGCTGAAAGCCCACTGCAGAGCCCCGTCTTCCTAGCTCAGCTCTCACGTTCAGCACCCCGACCCCGCTGCTTCATCCCCCCTGGCCTGGGCTGCTCTGTGCATTGCAGGGGTGTAGCTGCAGTTCTGGCCACTCACCACTAGGTGTCAGCAGCACCGCCCAATTGTGACCAGAGCAACAAAGCCACCTGCAGACAAGACCAAAAGTCACCCAACATGGAGAACCAGCGCTGTAAACGCAACACAACGCACTTGGACACAGAATTCAGGAACAGTGGGAACAGTGTAGAGGGGTCCCAATGTGGAGGGGGTCGCTCTCTCCCCGTCAGGGAGGCTTTCCGCGGAGGCTGAATTTAGCCTTTTGGAAGCCTGCCTGGCCAGCTGCTCTCAGACAGTCTCCTGTTCCCTCTGTGGACACCCCTGGCTCCCGGTGGTCAGGGCGTGTCTGCAGGCGTGACACCCGACCCCATCCAAGGCCGCCTGACCTCAGACGCACTCCCCAGGCTCCATTTCTTCATCTTTAAAAGAGGAGAAATAGCACCTCTCTTGCGCACTTTGGGGTTACGTGAGATAATCCATAGGAGGGTAGGAATCCGCATGAAGTGTCACTGTTCTTTCAAGCGTTATTGTCACGCCATGTGTCCAGTGCCGCCCGCATTTCCCCCATTGAGAGAGAGAACAACGGATAGGAGTTGTGAGCCCACCCTGGAAAGCTTCCCAGCAGAGAAGGAAAACCAGCGGTGGCATCTAATTTCCAGAAGAAGGGAGTCCAGTGAAGCGATGCTTTACAGGTGGCTCATTTCACAAGCGAGGAAACAGGTCCAGAGAGGTCGAGGGATGTGTCTAAGGGCACGCAGCTAGCTGAGAGGAGTCTAAAGGGGTTGGAATTCTCCAGGGGTCTTGCCTGCGGTGGTTTTGCAGATTTTGGGATCAAGGGGAGGGTGGGGTTTGGAGACTTACGTGACAAGCCCTTGGATGGTGACCAAGTGTCTCCCCAGCTCCATGAGGAGACCCCTTGGTTGTGGGATTTAAGCACCCCCACTCCACTCCGTCCCCCAGGGAAGAACCCAGGCTGGTCTGAGCTGGGACTCTTTCCTCCTGGGAAATGCCTTTGAAGCTGACAGCATCAGAGGAGACCTGCCCACAGGTGGGACAAAGGAGATGGAGCCATGCCTTCTAGAATTCTTGGAGCTGGGGCTTAACTTTGCAGGAGCTGGCTAGGGATCACCCTGGGCAGCCTTGGGCTCCACCCTCTCTCCCTTGCAGCAGGAACTCCCAGAATAATTAACCACTCACTGCAGGGTCCCAGCCAGCCCCTGTCACACCCACCCCTATCCCTCCCACCCCGTGTGATCCAGGCATGAGCTGGCAGCAATGGCAAGAATGATGAAATCCTCTTCCACTCACCAAATATTTGCTGTGCAGCTCCTGTGTCAGAGACAGTTGAAGGTTTCCCAACCTCATCTTACCAGCTGCACTGGAATGCGTGTGCTCCCTGAAATGCTGCCTCCAGGGTCATAGTCCAAAGCCCCCACCCCACACAGAGGACTGAGTCACAAATCCCTGAGCTGAGCTGATCCTGGTGCTGTGGAATCCACTCTGCACGGAGGCCCCAGAAGGTCTGTGTTCCGGACTCTTCTGGTTGGGAGCCTCCGTCTTCTCATCTGAAAAATAGGAGCCAACTGCCCTGCCAGGCACAGGGTGGGGGGTGAGGGCAAATAAGGTAAATCTCACGACATAAGATGTCACACTTCCTGGAATAACCCAACTCTGTAGGCATAATGCAGCCTTATTATCCTTAGCAAATCATTTGGGAAGAGATGAAATTTTCAGGTTTGCTAAAGCTTTGTCATTTTAAGCACCCACACCTTTAGCACATTAATAAATATCATAGACAAAAATTCTCCAAAGTGGAGGTAATAAAAGACAAAAATCTAATAGCTCATAAAAGAATTGAATGAACAATACACACGATTTTTCAAATGGCCCCCAAGCATGGGGAAAGGTGTTCAGCATCACAATTGGGATCTCACAACTTCAGTGAGATAAGCAAATAAGTAAAATCAGAAAAGATAGAGCAATGCTGACACTGACTCTTTGGGAGAGGGAAGAACGAATTTGGGAAGGGAGACAGTTAAATGAACTCTGTGGGGCGTGGAGATTTCCACGTGAACTCAGGGTTTCTAAGAAAGAGTGTGTGTGTGTGTATTTGTGTGTGTTTGTGAGTGTGTGTGTGTGTGTGTGTGCACGTACGCCCATGCTTCTGCTCTGTTCTTTGGAAAGGCTTGGAAGCAATGAACCGTGGAAGATCCTGGAAGCAATGAACCGTGGAAAGTCCTGGAAGCAATGAGCCGCCCTCGCCTGAGATCTTGGCTCTGAAGCCACTGTCCATCAGAGGGAAGCGGGGCTGCCAGGGAAGAACAAGTGGCAGGCGAACCACTTGCTGTTCCAGAAACTAGGGAAGGGCTCCAAGAGAGAGGGGAACATGGCAAAAAGGGGCAGGAGCCAGGGAGGGAGGGGGATGGTATTTCAAGGGTACAGGCTTCAGTTTTTCTAAATGAAAGAGATGGTGCTGGCACAGCAATGTGAATGCGCCCAACACTGCTGACTACACTTCCAAATGGTTAAATGGGGAGTAGGAGGAAAGGCTTTTTCTCTACCTCTTAGATCCACTGTTTGGGGGGCTGCAAATTAAATGGATATTAAAGGCAAATTAGCCAGAAAAAGAGGAATTTAATTGCAAAGGTACATGCATACGGGATTCAAAGACGTATCTCAGAGAGGGAATCTGGGGTTTCTACCCCAGTTAACGGAGAAAGGGAGGAGGGCGAAGGGCATTTAGAGGAAAACACATGATTTCTTAATTAGGGGGAGCAGAGCAAGAGCACTTACGGGAAAACAAATTACTTTTAGGAAAAATAAATGGGTCTTCAGGAGCATGGATGGGAGCCGGGAGAGTTTGTGATGAATTGGTTCGGCCATCTTGTCTCCGGTGATCAAAGCCAATCTTCTAGTCTCCGGTGATAAGAATCACTCTTCCCTGATTGCTACTGGGCTGCACATTGATGGCAGTTAGGATCTTCTGAGTTTTTCTGGGAGAATCTGCTTTCAGGATGATAAGGAGCTTCTGGAACAAAGCCTCTCCTCAAATGCCTTCAGAACAAAACAGGTTTTGTTGCCACAGTGGTGATTCTGGACCATGTCAATGGTAGATACTATGGTAGGTGTATTTTACCACAATTTAAAAAAATAACTAGTTTCATTAATAAGAACCTGTTTTTCTAAAGAATACAGGCGGTGGTGTGGAGGGGTTCCCATAAACCCAACCTTAAGACAATGTGAGCATCAAAATACATAGTAACAGATTATAACCTACCGAATAAAATAAGAATCCACCACTGCAGTCTGAGATGAATGAGTGAGTGAGAAGGGAACGGGCTCCCTGAAAATAGAAGGCCACCTAATAAATCCAGAAGTAATGATGGAATTGTAAAAGGCACAATCTGGCTATCACAGCAATAATTATTTTCAGCAAGAATCATCAGTGTATATTAAAAATGTATGATGAAATAAGCTTGTTGGATGGAAAACAGGATATTAACATGGTTTCAGTGTCTCCCACAAGACCCTGATTAATTCAAGGAGGGGAGATGTCAGCAGCCAGCAGATACCACCTTCATGAAGTGAGCCGAGGTAACCGCAGCGGTGACAGAGCGAGCTGACAGGGCCCCCCGATGACACACTGAGAGTACAGCACCACTATTCGGTGTTTATTTGTAGGATGGGTCACACAGGCATCCCCCAGATGTCCAGAGCTGGCTTTTTCCAATAGGGGTCACCTTTGCATGTGGGGCTGAGGTCGCTGGTGGCCCTGTGGGCCTTGGGAGAAAGTGTTCCTGTTACCTAAAGAATGCAGGTTACCTAGACTTAACCTCCGGAAAGAAGATTTTTATCAGAGAAGACTCTCAAGGCAGGACACATATCTAAAGACAAGGTTTTGTCATAAGAAAATCATCTCCTCATGCGAGGCCCCTTTCTCTCTCTTTGACACCCCGGGCCCCTATCCCCTTCCTTAGCTCAGGATATAACCACCCATCCCCTTTGGCCCATTCACTTTAGAGTTGACAGCTCTGTAAATTCTCCATAGGCAAGTCATT